TTACATTAAGCAGTGCCTTCAGGGGGACAGCAGTTGGTGAAGTTTAGTACTGGAGTGCTCCCTGTCACTGCGCTGGCCGGAGGGAGTACTCTGTCATCCCCTTAATACAGTATGTCCCTGCAGGCCGATACCATCTCTCCTGCTCTTCAAGTTCCCCCTCACATGCTACCAAACTAGGTCTTATTTTCGGGGTAGGTCTTATATTACAGGAATCTTGAAAAATAGTGCTAGGTCTAACTTTCAGGGTAGGTCTTATTTTCAGGGAAACAGGGTATATACATAAACATACATGATGCAGATTTTGTGTGAGTAAGCTGCATCATGTATGAGTATACTTTTCAGGTTTCCTTCTGTATAGTATGCTGATAATTTAACATATCAATATGTGAAACATTTCTTTCAGTCTATCTCTATCGAGGACATTATATTTGGAATTGTAATATAGCGAGAGACCAGCTTGTCTAATAAAGTCAGAAAATACCTTTCGCTGTTTGTCCTACATAGGAGACAACATTATTATAACTTGTCATTACAAAACCATTGAGGCTCAGCCCATCCATGGCAGTTGTTCCTCGTTGCCTGAACAGTTTATGGCTGTCCCCTAACCCCCTAACTTGATAACTATCACAATTTAGTGCAACCTTTGGATGATCACAGCTGATGGAATCATAGTTGCTGGGGACAAATAACCCCTGGATGATTGCATCTTTTACCCCATCAAAATGATGTGGATAACACATGGGGAGTCAGGTGGATTCATACATGCAGCAACTATAGGCAGAAGATGTTTAGAAGACATTACCCTGCAGAGAATCTGGAGATACAAGAAACACTTGAAAGTATTTAAGAGAACACATCATGCTGCGTATTAATGCACATGACGCACATTGACATTTAGTACAAAGTGCATTGCAACATGCATTGACCTGCTTTTTGATGCATTTATGTTAATTTCAGACTGCCTTTCCTCCTCTGCATCCCCCCCCCCCCCCCATGTGTTTTCATTGAAAATGCATCAAAGCGCATGTCATGACTGTTATTACACACATCAGTGCATATCGACGCTCGTTGATGCACATCTTAATGCATGTGTTGACATGCATTTTGATATGCTTCAGATGCCTTACAATGAACTTCTCTGATTTGCTCCCCTTTGGCCTGGTAGAAATACAGTTGCAATCGTTTTGTTATATCTGAGGTCTTGTTCACACCAAATACGGACCAGGTCTGCATGAGTTTATGCACATGCTGTGCTGTTCCAGTCTGTTTTTCTTTTTTTGCCTAAAATGGGCTTTCAGTGCGTTCCAGGGTGTTTGCATGCGTTTTTGATGTGTTTGCGTTTTGGTGCATTCCAGAGCAGAAAAAATAGGGCATGCAGCAGTTTTTCTATATGCTCTGGAACTGAACACTCTGGTGTGAACTTGAGCCCAAAATACCATTGCAATACATTGCATGCACTTTTGATGCGTATTGTAACTGCTCTGCATCTGCTCCATGAACTAGCCCTGAAAGCGTCATAGGACAGGTAGTATGCTACTATCCAGGTGAAAGTTAAAGGCCTGGAAATAAAAAAAAATAAACAATGCAGCCACCATATCCAAGGACTGTTCAGCTGCAACATAATCAGGGCTTGAGAAATCCACTCTTCTGCTCGTCCGTGACGAGAGGACGCCGGAGCTGGATGAGTAGCTTCTCGGCCGGCTGTTGTAATTAAAGGGAGCTTTACATTCGAGCGATAGGACTTCTCTAGAGACACCCGACCACTTGTATTAGCTGCGAAAGCTTCTTAGCCCCCTATGTGATAAGTGTAAAAACAAAAGATTAAAAAAAAAAAAAATTTAAGTCCCCCGCCCCCCACATACACACACAAACATGCGTCGGGTGTGCCTACGTGCGAAAACAACAATTGCGCCTTTTGTGCAGCACATGTTACACATCACCGCGATTGTCGGAGTGAGAGCAATATTTTTAGGGCCATTAATCACTGATAACAATAAACTGATGAGCAGTAAAAGCGTTTATATCATCGCCTTTGGGCAATTTTTGGTGCGGTAGTTTTTTGCGGGGAGCGCGCAATTTTAACATGTTTGATGTCTATTTACCCAACCTGACCTCGTCTTTTATATTTTACCCAAAATATAGGTAAGAATAAATGTTTTTTAACATAACATTTTTTTTTCAAAATGTACGGTACTTTTTTCATTATATAGTAAAAAATGTCGTCGTCTTGTGGTTCCACAAAAAAATAGTAATGCAGTGCCAGAGTGGAAAAAGTAATAGCATTTGCTTTAAATAACCAGTATTTTTTTTTTCTTCGCATTGCAGCAGCTCTCCCTTCCAAGAACAGTGGTGGTTATATTCAATAACAACATTTCCAGCGCTAAAGAATTTTTAGACATTCATGTGGCACGATCACAGCAGTTTGCATAACCAGTCCTTGTCCTCATGTTGGTCTGAGCTCATATTTCTTCACAGACATCTTCCTTTATCTCCTATGCCCAGAAATAGAATACTGCCAGCCTGCCGCATTTCTGTTTGTCTATAGACACCAATTTCCTGGTTTTAAATATTGCTATATATTATTATTTTTTATTTTTATCAAGAGGACTGTTTGTATGTGGTCAGTTCCTGTGACCAACATTTTGTGTGGTTGTAATAGCTTTGCGGGCTGTAAGAGGAATAAAATAAGCTGTAATTTTTACACTATACTGGGTTGTGTGAAAGAGCAGAACAACTATGTACATGCTGATTGTACATACCAACTATTAATAGCTGCAGGGAATCTATGAAATGTATACATTAGACTGTCCACTGACATGACCTGAGATTCTTCATGCTTATTTACTTCTACGACTGCTTTGTTAAAGGGAAAGTATTGTATATGTCACTGTTTTTCATAAAGAGCTGAATCAAACATTTAAAGATTTATGCTCACTCCTTTTTATATTTAGTATTTTTATACAGGATTTATTTAGTGCCAGTTTGCGCAGCACTCTACAATACAATTTGTAGGCAGTGTACAGTTACACAACAATTAATGTAAGTAAGGAGGCCCTGCTATGTGAGAGCTTACAATCTAAAAGGCAGGGGCAAGTGGTACAAAAGGTAATTCCTGTGAAGGATTAATTTGTTAGGTAGAGAGAGGTTAGACTTCCCTGAAGAGATTTTCAGGGATCTCATAAGGGCAGACAGGGTAAGGCAGCTGGAGAGATCAGGGTAGGGAGTTCCATGGGATGGGAGAGCCTCTGGAGACGTTCTAGAGGTGAGAATGAGAGGTGGTGACAAGAGAGCTGGAGAGCAGGAGGTCTTGAAATGAATGGAGAGAACGGTGTAGGCGATATTTTGAGATAAGGTTGGTGAAATAGCTCAGGGCAGAGTTGTAATTGGCTTTGTATTTTGCTGTTTAGATCCCCAATTATGTGCGGGTATCAGTGTGCAATTTTACATGCATATTTGTGCATTGACACACAATGATGTGTGATTGATCTGTTTATTTGGGGGGGGGTTCACCATTAATTAAAGTACATGACATAACAGCGTTAGTGGGCAATATTTGGCACCCTAGACCTCTAGGGAACAAGAACTGCTAAAAGCAGCAATAAAAACCTAAAGCAATTATTTCCCTAGCAGCCAAAAAAGCAATCGTACACCTGTGGGCTACCCTAAACCCCCACACGATTAACTATTTCTAGACAAGCTACAATACATACAAGTATGGGAATCTTTTATTGATACCCTTCCAAACTTTACTAAACAAGATAATAAAAAGCTTCAACACACACGGTACATCAGGGCTCAACAAATCCCAGACGCTAGGTCTCCATGGCAGCTAGAAATTGCGTCCTGGCACCTGGGCTCTAACCCCCCCACTAGGAGCCCTCTGCATGCTGTGGTCTGTGTTCCCTTCGATCCCCACTGCTCTCCCTGCTTGTATCAGCAGAGGCAGCGGAGGGGACACAGACCTCTGCAGCCAGCGTCCAGCGGGGAGGAGAGACCGCTGTCAGCCGCTGTGACCCCACCCCGCGCCCTCCTGTGCACCACCCCCATGCCCCTGCTGCGCCCCCGTGCCCCCTCTCCTGCTGGATGGGAGACTTGTTGCTGGCAGTAGAAAGCCAGCGACAAGTCTCTCATGCAGTTGCTGGGAGCAATAGCCAGCCTGTTATTGGCTATTTTGAATTGCAATAGCAGGCTGGCTATTGGACCCGCCCACTGCCTGCTATCAATCAGCAGAGGAGGACCTGAAAGAACGGAGGGCAATAGCCAGCCTGCTATTGGCTATTGTAATTTGAATTAGCCAATAGCAGGCTAGCTATTATTCCCAGCCACTGCCTGCTGTGTTTACATTTAGCTGACTTAGCAGGCAGCTGTCATTCCTCAGCTAAAGTAATTGGAGATGACAGGTTCTCTATAAGGTGACATTAGGGGTCTACCAGATCCCTAGTGTCACATTTTCACTTCAATGTGCTAACACATAGGGGGCTTGTAAGCCCCCCATGTAATAGCAATAAAGTTAAGTAAAAAAAAATTTTAAAAGTTGAGTGCACATACGTACAAAAACGACAATGCCAGGTTTTGCCGCGTGCGCCAATTAAAGTTGTAATTGAAAGTTACAACTATCGTTGAAAATAAAACTTTGTTAGTTTAAAAAGCCTGGCTCCTAACTTTTCTAGCTGGCTTCTAGATTTAAAGCAAATTTGTCAAGCCCTGTAGTACATGACAACATTGATTTCCAATGACCTGTCCCTTCATCACACATAGACTGTTAGAAGACATTAAAAATCAGTCTGTCACTTGCACTCGCAACGACTCTGCTTTGCCTAGGTCTCCAGAACAACAAACTGGTCACTACACCCCAAGCTGGCCACTGCTAATCCCATCTCTGAGGTGTTCTTTTGTATAAAGTGCCTTATTATAATGCACAACTTTGTTCTCTTGAAATCTACAATTTAAAAAATCAAACATTTTGTAATATTTTACATATTTTTCTTATTTTCTTTCAGGAGAAGCATGAAGAGGAAGGCAAATTTTACGTGCCCTTTTAATGGGGAATGTCGCATAACCAAAGACAATAGACGACACTGTCAGTCCTGTCGGCTGAAGCGCTGTGTTGATATTGGCATGATGAAGGAGTGTAAGTAAACACGTATGTTAAAATCGTTATGCTAGTCTATGCCTTACCATAATAAATGGGGGTTGTTATTTTACAATTCTGCCAAAATTACCGGGGTAAATATTTTCAATGTAGCACTTGAGTTTTTAATGATTTTACAAATGGGACTAAATAAATGAGTGAAAACTGAACTCCAGGCTTACCTTCTGTCTTGCCAAATTGTACAGGCTCCTCTCCTCTACTGAAATAGGTTACTCTGATGCACACTATGAGCTTCTCACAGTGTGCATTAGAAGCTACAGCAATTCAGATAGAGACTGTCTCATTTTGTTACCATTCAGCATCATATTGACCTTTCTGGTACAAGTTTATCTAATTAGTGTAGTGGTCAGTACAGTGAATGTGTAACAATGCCCGTGTACATGTGACTTATCTGCAGAGCAAGGTTGTATTAGACCTTCTCAGTCATTAAACCGCCCATGGTTGTGATGGGATTTTTAAAACTCAAAGATAGCAATCCGCCAAAGGCAGGGCAACATTGGTGTGTGTATGTTGCTTTGTTTCTGTATGGAAGCATATGCCAAGACTGCCCATATCAGCAGAATTTAATTAGCGCTAGATGTCCAGATCTGTTAACAAGCAAGGCAGCCACAATTGTGGGGAGCTTAATCTGCATGTGTGTTTTTTTAATATACCCACATCTACCGTATATCCTTTGAGGCACTGTGTCACGTAGAGGGGCCCATGTTCAGTGGCAGTGGAAGCTCTGGGTCATTGTTTTTTTCCCCATGTGAGAATGTATCAATTCCAATGTTACAGTCTGATTTAGAATTTGGCATTTTTGAGATACACATAATTTTTTTTTTTTTATTGTTTGATCTATTTAATATTCTTGAGCTTTTATTCATGGTGCTGCTATATGTTTGTCTTGTAGGCCTGATGAAGGGGGGTTGTTGCCACTGAAATGCGATGGCTGTTTTTTGTTTGATCAAATTGTGTACAATTAAAAGTTACTTTTGGACTCTTTCACATTTTGCTTTGGCTCCTTTTATTTCTGAACATTGAGAACACAAATAAGTGCTGCCTGTTTGTTTTGGGAAACCCAAATCGGGGGCACCATGTTAGTCAAGAACTGACCTGACTTAAAGTAGTATTAAGGTCTGGGCGTTTTTTACCTTAATGCATTCACTTGTCAGACGTCCCAGGGAGCTAGTAGTGAGATGAGGAACCCACTGGCAGTAAGTAGCTAACAGTCCAGAAACGCGGTACAAGTTTAGGGATAATCCAAGAGGGGTAGTCAATGTCCAATCCGGGTTGAGGCAGGCAGCGAAGGTTCTAAGGCGGAAGACAGTCCAAGGGTCAGCAATCGGGAAGGATACAAAGGGGCAACAGGCAATAGGAGGATCAGCAGGGAGGCTAGGTGTTCACCATAAGGTGGAATAACTCAGCAATAAGCCAGAGCTCAGGCCAGGTGTTTATAGCCAGGGGAGGTAGGACCACCCCCCGAAGGGGAACCCGTGCCCTGCGCCGTGCCCGTGGTCCCCGAGCAGAGGTAACACCCCCTGCTTCCTGACATCACTGCATTAGGGTAAAAACAGCTCAGTACCTTTTTTCTGCCCCAGTCTCCCCCACACTTACCTGTCAGCTGCGCTCGTCCCCGCCGCCGGTCCCGAAGGGCTCCCCCGTGCCCTGAACTTCCAGGTTGCGGGGGAGAATACTGATGACAGAGGAGCCATAGGCTCCTTCTGCTATCAATCAAAGACTGTTGTTGGGTGTCCCCGTCTCATGCATGGTTTACTGCTGCCAGTAGCAGTTGAGCCTGTCCCCCTTACAGTCCTTATTATAGACTGTAAGATTTGTACTAAGTAGGAGTTAATTAGTAAACCACCAATAATTTATTAAAAAAATACTAATCTAGTTTAGCTAAAAATAGAGAAACGGTGACACATAATGTAGCATTTTGTCAGTTGATTTCTGAAAGTACTGCAGCGATTGCTAAAATTGTCCGCGGTCACCTATTAGCCTACAGTATGATGCATTTTAAAGCCTTGTTTATCAACAAGCAAGCAACATATAAAAAAAAAATTAAACAAATGGTCCCCGTGCACATAGGCAAAGAGGGTTGCACAGATTGAAAGCTCAGTCCTATGCAGGCAGGGCAGCCATCAGAAATGTTGGGGCCCCTGGCACGGCTTTAGGCCTGGCCTGCACCACCGCCCCCCAGCCGCCACCAATACCCCCTCCCCGCCACCATACTGAGCCAGTCACACAGTTATTATTATACATTGATATAGCTCTGACCTATACCACAGCGCTGTACAGAGAACACTGAGCCAGTCACATCAGTCTCTGTACAGAGGAGCTTACACTCTAATCCAGAATGGCACCAGCTGTAGGGGGACTACAAATCCCAGCAATAGTGATGTCACTTCCGGCCGGTCCGACATCAGAAGAGGAGGGAGGTGATGGGGCCCCAGCCCGTCTCGAAGCCGCACGAGCGGGCCCTGCGCTTCTAGGTGTTGGCCTCCTCCAGCGCTGGGGGGGCCCGGCCCTCTCCTTGCCTTTCACCGTCGATTTTCACCGTCGTTTCACCGTCGATTTTCTTGTAAGGGTCCTGGGAGGGCCCCCAGGATGCCCGGGCCCCTTACATGAGTATCGGTCATACCCCCCCCCCCCCCCCCCCC